GTTGTGTTGCAACTTGGCATGAGAAGTTTGATCAAGATTAGGGCTTTTTTGTAAAACAAAACGCAATATGCAATGAAATGCATCGATCGAGATATTTCAGTCTTCGTCACCGCCTTCTCCGTTAATATACACCTTTTGTGAGATTCTTGGCTAATCTTTATCTATTAAGGCTTAACAGATCTGCAGCTTTTCTTTTTAACTTGATTTACACTCATTCAGTTTAGCATGTCGGTATCTAGAAGATCAACTCGATGAAAGGTTTTTTAAAAAGGTCTTATTCGAAGAATGTCTAATAGTGGCCTCTTCACTGGAAACTCGCTCTTGATCTGAATTTTGTGGTTTTCCCGGAAATATTTCACACGTAGCCAAGATTGTCAGCAGGTGAATCCATGACTTCTACCTAAACTTCTTCCATCATTTGCAGGTTTACTCCTCGAGGCTTATTTTTCTTTTCTAATGTAGAAGCTGTCCACCGTTCCTACCATTATAAGCATGGTCCATCAGGGGAAATTACATATTTAAGTGTGGCTGATATCACACGCTCTGATTAGCTAAGAGCTAGAGCACAGCTAGTGTTAGGAACTACTCAATAGCCAAGAGTGAGGACTTGACGGGAAAATCTCAAACTCAGGACTTGCCGTATTGATCAAGCAACCAGACGATCACGGTTATTAGGATTTTTGCTACAAGGCCATCCCTCGGAGTTACGAGTTCGATGGTTGAGTGGCAGGTGAATTGCAGTCTAAAGAGAACGCAGGGTTGTCGGAACAGCAACAAGAAGATTTATTCCAAAATGAACGTAGTTTCCACTTGATAAACTCTACACTAGCACGTAACTTAGTAATCTTACACGTCCTCCGCCAACTCTGATCAGCTTGAAAATACACACGGCCTCCGCCAACTTCAATAGACTTGAAAAATACACACGGCCTCCGCCAACTTCAATAGACTTGAAAAATACACACGACCTCCGCCAACTTCAATAGACTTGAAAAATACACACGGCCTCCGCCAACTTCAATAGACTTGAAAAATACACACGGCCTCCGCCAACTTCAATAGACTTGAAAAATACACACGGCCTCCGCCGACTTCAATAAACTTGTGAATACTCACGGCCTCCGACGAATTCAACAAACACTACCTCGTCACACTTGACGGATTACGACTAACTCTCTTCGCTTGTGAAGGCTAGGTAAAACTTCGCTTAACCTATCCTACTTATATACCGACGCGATAAAATTCTAGAACTTTCTAAAAAATTACATAATATACTAAAATAAACAAGCCATGACCTTTCGCAAAGCTTCCAGGTCATGCATGTCACGCAACACTATTTTTCGTAACATGCGGTAAATTCGGCGAGACCTTAGTTTGAGATTTTCCTTTGAAAGGTAAAATCCTTGTCGCACATAGCAAGGCAAATCCTTCCATCGAAGCTCTTGAGAAAAGCCTGCTTAGTATTGCAAGAACCCCTCAACCCCACTCCCCTATTCTCCCCAGGATATGACTATGGAGATTTCGAGACGCTAGTTTTAATGCAAATTCTTTTTGTTTCCTCAGATTCAACAGATATGAAACAAAATTGTTAGAAGTTGAGGGGCGCTTATGTAACGGATCGTATATTTGGAAGATAGACAACTTTCGACAGTGCCGCCAAGATGCCGTCAATGGGGTGATGACAGCAATCCACAGCCCAGCCTTCCACACTAGTCTCTACGGATATAAATTATGCATGAGGATCAACCTTAACGGTGTCGATAGCGGTGTTGGAAAACACGTGGCTCTGTTTGTTCATATGATGCAGGGTGATTATGACAGCATTCTGGAATGGCCTTTTACCGGAAGAATTGCTCTGTCCATTTTGGATCAGTCTGATGGCGCTGAATACCGTCACCACATCAGTGAGACCTTGGTGGCCAAGCCTAACCTGCTGGCTTTCCAAAGACCCACAGCCCCGCGTAACTATAAAGGGTATGGGTATGTCGAGTTTGCACCAATTGATACTATCCGTGAGCCGCAGTATGTCAGAAATAATACCATGCTCGTACGAATTCAGATTTTTCATTAACTGTGCAGTATTGTGCAAAAGTGATGCAAACAAATTTCAATGAATTTCTCTATTTTCGCGCTCAAGTATACGTGAAACATTCAATGACATTTCCAGTTTTATTAGACTGGACATCTAAAAGTGACATCTTTTTCTCCCTCGTGGGGCTGTACCTTGATGTGGTGAGGGAGCTTGCGTACTCTTGCGATCCGCAGAGCTGTGCCGGAGGGAGCCGTGTGCTCCCATCAGGTGTAACCATTCCGAATTGGTCTGCGGTGAAGGGTCCGACAAAACAGCCCCTTTGTCTGTGGGGACAGGGGTTCTGTTTAGTCGTTTGGCACCACCCTCTAAAATATAGGTACCGGGTCACTTAAACCAAGCGGAGATGCGTCAGACGTTAGTCTTGTAAACAAGCTTTACCTAAGATGACCAACTCGTTTTGATGGAAGGGTTATCTTCCAGAAAAAACCTAAATTTCTCGACATCAGCACTGGAGTAGAACATGACACGTATTTCCAGCGAAGCTGGGACACTTCATTCATTGGAATTCGTTTGCATTCGGGTATTCTAAGATGAAATCATGAGCGGAAAGTATCACATTTAAGGTAGATAACGACAGAATCATTTCACTTCATTTTTGTGTAGTTTGCCCTACTTAAGCATCATAAATTTTTTAGGGTGTGTTAATTTACTTTCTTTTTTTGGAAGGAAGGTTTCTTTCCTTTTTTTTTGGCAATTTTGCGTATTGTACTTTAGAGTATAATTCGTTAGAAAAATCCACAAGTCAGCTGCCTCACATCGCATAACCATGATTTCCATTTCAGAATGTCCCGAATTAGTTGCTACATTGTAAAACCCTCAAATCTCTCGCAATTTTCTCGGATTTTAAATATGCATATAACTTTCATTTGTATATTATTGAGATTGTACTGGACCCCAATTTGATAGTAAGGGAAAGTGATGTGTGTATGAGGCAACAGCTTGTTAAACAATCTGTGGTAAAATGAGAAAATCTGATGAGAGTAGTTGAGTTCATTACGTTTACAGAGGAAAAGCGTTTCTTAAAATTCGTGGAAGTTTCCTGAAATTTCTTCCAACAAGGGGTTAACAGTAATTTAGGAAATGGGAGTTGGTGTCTGTAAAAACAAAAAGACAAACTATCGCATCTTAGGTGAGTTTTTATGTGCAAAGTGTATAAAAATCGAAGTTAAAAATCAAAAAAAACAAAAAAACCAAAAAAAAAAGATAAAAATTACTAAAACATTAAAAAAGAGAACAAATCAATGGTTTAAAGAAAATCATTAACGCGACTACATAGCAACATCTAATAGCAATGTGGTTGCAGAGCGCAGGATTAGCACGTTTTTAAAACATTTGTGTCGTTGAGCTAGTTATATGGTAAAAATGATGGCTTTAATTTTCTATTTGTATATTTATTCATACCATAGTTTATACATACTAGTGCTTAAACGCAACGCCCTGGTTGTAGATGGAGACGAGATTTGAAGGTTCTGTTACTATTGGGCGGAGTAACTTTAATTTATTTAGAAATTTGAAAGGGAAAAATCAATAGATAGGAAATTTGTAAACTGACATGATATTTCTTACGAGGTTATTAGAAACGTTTCAAAATGGCGAAAGTTGGATCACTCTTTTATAATTCTGTTAAGTACTAAGCCACTTAACATGGCAATAAAAGAATAATACATTTTCCGTCAATTTGGAATAACATGTTCCGATTTAATGTGACTTTCAATTGAATTATTGGAATTGAATCCTGATTCGTTTTTACAGACCCGTTAGGTTTGGTTGGGTTAACCCTGTTGTTGGAAAAATTATTCTGTAGCAATACACTTTTGCATAATACGTCTTCCTCATTGAATGAAGAGAGGTGTTTTGTGGCAGCCTAAGTGTTAGGATGCCATTAATGATCTTCATCTAGAGGTCAGCAGGCTTATTATGATGAAGCAGCGGTTGTTGAAATTTAATGATTTCCTTTCCTTGCTAAATTCTACTAGTCTGTTGATGCACAGATATTTAATTGAATTCGCACGGTTTAAGTTACATGGAACCTTGAATAACGACTATGTAACAGAAAACAATTTGATAACGGTTTTTCGATCCTCTAATCTACGTAAACTAGATTTCAAGTTACAAGAATAGTTCTAACATACTATTGTGATGATAGTTACTAATTTATGAGTTGTTTACGGGAACTTAAGTACAAAGGTGGTAAACCTAATGTAATAGTAAGTTTAAACTAAGAGACAAGTGTTATCTCAGTTTGTTACTCATCATTACATAAATAATTAAAAGGGATTTTTCATACTGCATTATTTAGTCATTTGTCTTTAACCGTGAGATCGCGGTTGAAAACCAAGTCGATTAAAAAACCACTAGTGAACAGTGACCCATTGAAGAAATGGTGCCATCAAATAAACACTACCGCGAAATAAAGAACGAAATATTGCGAAACATGTTAAATTATCCTACGATGACCAGTTCTTAACATACTATGGTGGTGATAGTTACCGATTTATGAGTTGTTTACGGGAAGTTAAGTTCAAAGGTTGCAAACCTAACGTAATAGCAAGAGACAGGTGTTATCTCAGTTTGTTACTCACCATGAAATAAATCATTAAAAGGGATTTTTCTTACTATTTAATTTAGTCATTTTCCTTTAACCGTGAGATTGCGGTTGAAAGCCAAGTCGATTAAAAGGCCACTAGTGAAGAGTGACCCATTGAAGAAAGGGTGTCATCAAACAAACACTACCGCGCAATAAAGAACGAAATATTGCGAAACATATTAAATTATCCCATGATGAACCAGATTTCCCAAGCCGCAACGTCTTTTCCAACGCTTTCAATGTTGAATTGAATTTCGAGAACACGAAAGTCTGCATTTCACACATTTTCACTTGTTTGGGAAGGTCGTAGTCGATATGGTCCGAAATGTGCCGACTAGGTGTGTTGTATGAGGAATGTATGAAGCGCGATATCCTCTTGCAAATTTCGCACGTTGCTACATCCTTCTACAACACACTTAGTCGGCATATTTTAGGACAATATCGACTACAACCTTCCCAAATAAGTGAAAATGTGTGAACTTCAGACTTTCGTGTTCTCCAAATAATTTGAATATATCAACAAAGTTGAAATGGTAAATTTGCCACCGTAACGATTACAAAAGCTGACGTTTCGAGCGTTAGCCCTTCGTCGGAGCGAATAGAGGAATTGTGGGTTGTGTGCGCTTTTAAAGGCAGAAAATGGAGCTACGTTATTGGTGGGAACATGGCAACGAGAAAAACATGAATAACTTGAACTTATTGCAAAAAGATATACATCGGCGAAACAGGCAGAAGACTAGGTGACCGATTCCGAGAACACCTTCGAGACGTGGAAAGGAATGACAAGGACACATCGAAACCAGTCGCTAGACATTTTAATTTACCTAATCATTCTAAG